TTTCAAAATCTCTTTTCATATTCAAATGTTAAAACTTCTATGAGAATACCAAGACAACAGTGAAAATCAGCATAACAAAAAAGCTACCAAAAAGAATTCTGGAAGTGTAGGTATAAAACTCCATCATGCTTGAGGTCTATATTCGAAGAATGGGATAGTGTTAGGAGATTAGAAAAGCAAGATGTAGCTGAGTGTTTATCATATCATGGCGCGACCCCTTTATTGCCCTCAAAAAATAGACCGTGTTCTCAAGGTTGCGTGCGCATCAAACTTGACGTGCCACGAAATTGAAACTGAACGCCAATTCAGCAAAATTAAGTAGCCAGCTTTATGTTAAAAAACGATTTTATGAACTCTTATCGAAAAAAACATTAATAGAAATGTATGATAATTCTCATTATGAGCTCCTGTTCTGGTATCGTGGTCCGTCAAGTTCCTTAAATTTCAGTGTATGCGCACGCGACCTTGAGAAAACGGTCTATTGTTGTATTTTGGTCAGTTTCTATTATTTTATTGTAATGATTCAAATGTCTCGACTTGAAACAATCGTTTGAAGGAAATGGAGTGTAACTCTAATATCTACTATCAGCTACAGGTTATCAAATCTTTTCTCTTATCCCTTTATTTACAAAAAACTGTGTTTGTGAATGTCAATGTACAGTGGGCATTTTCCATAATTCATCCGGTTTATTCCACAGTAAAGACTTCTTCGTGTGTATATTCTTACCTGCACAATACCTTTGATTCCATAAAGTCCCATCCATCGTCGCAAATAGTCCCCCATACTCCATCATGATAGATCTCCACCCTTCCCTCTCGGTAATCAGAACCATTAACTAATCGAACAGTGCTTGACCCAGTTGCATTCATAATAGCCACCGAAACCTTTCCTGAAGTACAGTTATCCGCGCAACTCGTACCATCAAAAACAGATGGAGGATTGCACATGATACACGTAGGAGCCTTTTTGCTTTTGTCGTCTTGACAAGTGAAACATTTGTCAGGGCAACGCACACATGTAAAATTAACCGCGTATTTATAGAAGCCCATTGGACAGTCTTGGATGCATTTACCCATGTAGCGAAAAAGGTTTGGTTTACAGGAGGACGTGCACTTGCCATCTTTGAGTGCGAGGGGTTCACTGCATGATGTACAATTTGTCCCATCTACACCATCAGCGCAAGTCACGCATTTCTTATCGCAAACTTTGCAAGTTCTAGTTGGAGTGTGTCCATATTGTGAGCCACCACAGGTTTCTATGCAAGAGTAATCTTTAAGGAACTTAGGTGCTTTGCACTTAGTACAACGGGTAGAGTATCCAATACAGGCTGCACACGATGAGGAACAAGGCGTGCAAACGTCGTTATAAGACTTGTAATATCCTTCAGGACATTGACTTACACACAAATTAGTTAATGCTTGTCCTGTCTGAGGTCCTGCACAAATGACTCCCGCATCCTTGGAATGAAAACAACGACTACTCCACAGAACGCCTTTGGTAGGGCAGTCAAATATACTTTTCTCAGTCCCAGCGCAAGACAGCGTGTCATACCAGATAGGCAGCGATCCTGGACCAAACGTTGCTCCACGCGTTGCCTTGATTGTACGGCCAAGTCCTAACTGTCGACATACTACAGTAGCCTCTCGAAAGTCCCAAGAGTCATCACAAACCGTTTTCCAAATTCCTCTGTCTTGTAAAACCTCCACCCGCCCTTCATAAGAAGAAGACCGCTTCCCAGTTAAACGGACTCGGCGTTTCAGACCTACTTGAACGTTGCTGCATGTAGTGACACAAGTGTTGTTTGACAAGAAACGATCATCAGCACATCCAATACAATTTGATGGGCTTCCGGTGCATGTCCGACAATTAGTATCACATTTCTTGCACAATCCTTTGTCTGGGCTGCCGAAATAACCTTCGCCACAGTCAGAAACGCACTTGTTATCTAAAACAAAATGAATAATATCAAAAAAATTAAAAATCCAGGCTTGACGAATATTCTTTGATGTGTATTATTGATTATGTCATCTTGTCGATTCATGATTTGGCCTTACCTTTTAAAAACAGGGACCGGTCACAAGTCAAACATGAATCAGAAGAATTTGCACAAGTAAGGCAGCTGGATGAGCAGACACCGCAGTTTCGGCTGTTTGGGACTTCAAAGAACCCTGGACCACACTTTCCAACACACCGCCGGGTTGAATCAGGGCCTGAACAAATTACACCAACATCTTCAAAATGACCACAGTTGTGTTTTCCCCAAGGATCATGAAAGCATTCATCTAGCCTCGTTTCATTGCCAGTGCACTGAAGATTAGTTAGCCATACTGGCTGGCTGTCATCACCTTTACCTAGCCCTCCTCTAGATACCGCAGAAAGTGCGTCACCCAACATCAATTCCCTACATATCACGTGAGCATCATTAATGTCAAAACCATCGTCACAAATGGTTCCCCAGGTGTTGTCTCGATATACTTCAACACGTCCCTCAAAATGACTGTTATCCCCGACTAATCTTATATTTCGTGAAGGGGGTCCTTGTTTCCACTGAAATTCATTGCATTCTTTTGTGCAGGATTTGCCATTCAAGAGGAAAGGTTCATAGCAGCTTGAGCACTTGTCATTAAAAGGACCATCAAGGCACGTACGGCAGGCTTTGGAGCATCGAAAGCAGTTCCCATATTGAGTATCCCCATAAAAGCCGGGTCCACATTTGGTAACACAATAGCGGTCTTTCTGGAAAGTTCCTTTTGGACATTTGCTTACAGTATGGATATGTATGTCCATAAAGTCATCTTTAACTGAAACTGAGAAAGAAAATAATCATTTGAGAGAAAAGGCAAGAGAACAACGTCTAACCTGAAATGCAATAATTTAATACTAAAAGTGAATATTAGGCATAAACAGAAGAATTAAATAAAACATGACCATTTTGAAATTTTAAGAAAAAGCAAAAAAAAAAAAAAAAAAAAAAAAAAANAAAAAAAAAAAAAAAAAAAAAAAAAAAAAAAAAAAAAGCTACAAGATGAGACGCACAGGTTACAACAAGAAATGCAAAAAATTTATTTTGAGGGTACACAACACATCCTTTATTTTCTGGTTTTTTTTTTAAATGTCTTGATTCAGATCAGGTTAAAGTAGAGTACCGTCATGAAATGAGTGGGAAACGCACGGTACTGACTTGGAGCACAAACACGGTATGACATGCCGTATCATCGGATGCCAATGTGTCAGTATTTTATTACAACGCGTAGTCAGTACAGCTAAGGTATTACGGTACGTCTATTATAAGGTTGCGAATTTCTCGTATCGGGCCCACACCTTCCAAAACCGTTCCCATGTATTTTGATGGAATCTTAAGGTACGGACACACGGTGCAACATTGCACGCAATATTGCTTGCAATAGGACTGTTGCAGCGTGTGTAGCCTACCCCTGAAACTTGTTGCACGCAATATTGCATGCAAACAATTTAAAGTTGAATCGCGCGCTACTCTTGCAACATTGCGCGCAACAAATTTCATCGTGTCAACATGGCTGCATCATTACCTACAACGTTTTGATAATTCCAGCCAATCGCCATGCACCAAATTTATTGCCGCTGACTAAATTTCTGAACATAGCAGGCTGAAACTAGCGATGTTGCGTGATTTTGTTGCAACGTATGTCACCCCAATTCAAATTTGTTGTGTGCAATGTTGATCGCAATGTTGCACCGTRTGTCAGCACCTCAACGATTTATTTGATTGACGGTAGTCTGTAAAGCTTTTAAGAATGGCATCACTAGTATGATAAAACGACTTCGAGGTCAAAAGGAAAAGCAGTCTCTTTCAAAATAGTTCTTACATTTTCTTTAAGACAGGAATCGTTGTCCAAAAAATATTGTTTCGGGTGGTGATTAAATCATTGAGACCATTTTTCGTTTTATTTTAGTGGTTTTTTTGTGAGCACTTTTGGACCCGAAAATAGGTGACAACTTAAAAGCTATATTGCCAACTACGCTGGCGCTACATTTACTACTAGTTATCTCGATCAGCAAGTAAGTAGTGTTATAATATCTGTGTCCGTCTGTTTGTCCGTGGCCATATAAAATAGGTCATATAAAATAGCATTTTGTTTCAAGAAATGCCACTACAATGAAATTTCTGGCTTGCTTTTTTTTTGCCTGGATTGCAAGACCTTTGTTAATGTAGTAAAATGTCACTTTTTTTTTTCAAATATCAATTTTCTTTCAAAAGATATTGAAGTTTAAAAAAATGGCGGCTATTTTTCCTGATGAAGTCATATTCTCAATACTTGGGCAGCCTTATTATGATGATAAGCTATATCTCAGCCCAATTTCAATCAAAATCAATCAAATTTAGTAGTCATAGTATTAGCTGTTCTTCAAAATTAGCTATAAAGATAAGTTTCATTTTCTGAAAGCTGAATAAATGAATAAATATTTCCTTTTAAGTTAGAGCGAATTATTCAGATTTTCACCTTGGCATCTTCGCGGAGTTTGATGACAGCCGGTAATGAGCGGAAACCAACGCTTATTACCTTTCCGAGATCACAAGACATCACTTGTCAAAAGTGATTAGTTGCCCTGTTGCTTTTTTATACGCTCCTAAAGTTACGACGCTGCTATATCAACTGTATCGGAGCCAAAATCCATAATAACTTGGGAAATAAGCAATCAAAAATCAAAAAATCGGAGACACCTTTTTGAAGAACAGCTATCCAAGATGACTTCCTCAAAATTTCAATTAAATCGGTCAAATTCTCTTTGACAATGAACTCAAAATGTACGGGTAACTGAACGCAAAATCACTTCCGAGAAAAACGCAAAATTGTTTTTCAAGCCAAACAAGTGCCTTTGTTGAAACCAAAAAGTCGTTTTTCGTTTATTTCTCGCTATTAAAAAACGCTATTGGAAAATTAGTTTTGGAAATGATAGCTTATTGTGTATTCAATCTTTCATAGCAATGTTGGGGTACCCTGATACCTTAAAATATATGTTATGGTCATACACAATTTTAGCCAAACAATTTTCTGCTCAAGTTAAAAAATAACAAAGTCATAAATCCAGCTCCTAATACTTAAAACTTGAATATTTCTCGAACTAAAAACTAACAAGAAATGAAAAACGCCAGTTATTTTTCTTCAGTTGAATTTTATATAATAGGCGGGTTGTACTAATTTACATATAGATATGGAGCATGCGTGGACGTTTTTCACTCGTTTCGTCAGTATTAATGCTATTTAGTGCTGATTAGATTGAATGTTTTCACAGGTTTACTGCATGTTTGCATTCTTGCATGACTCACTTTAATCCAGTATTCACTCAGACAAAGTTTTCTTTCAAAATATAGACAACGGTATACAATCACCTCGACTTCTTCAGTGAGAGCCACTTCCATATACCCAACAAAATATTTACTAAAACATCTACACAGGCTTTTCCAATCCAAACTTCCTGATTTTGCAACCTAAATCAAAAATGCTGGCCATTTAACAATCAGGGAATCAAAAGAGAAAATTAAATTCTTTATTCTCGATGCGGAAATGGAAAACAAAGTTTCAAAACGAATTCGATGCAGCAGGTTGTAGTTATTTTTGAACAGCAGTTCTTTCATACATGATGAACAACGTTTAGTTATTCAGTAATCAAAGATTGAAGAAGCAAAGGCGACACAAATCAGGAAGAAATATCAGAAAATACTACCGAACGCCTCGTTCTGCTTTAGCTTTTACATCCTACACGAAGCCTGGGTCGCCGTTTGATTTCTGACAAACGTTCAAGGACTCGAATATGGATATGAGGATAATATGAAGCATCCTAGTTGCGAGGGTACTGCAAATGCCAACGATTTCCCTTCAGGAACATGACGTTCCTGCGAATACCACATTCATAACACAACATGACACCGCGATAATGAATATAAATCCAAGGACAGTTTTTGAGGCATCTTTACGAATTTAATATTCCAACTTTATTTTTACATACGACTCATAAACTTTTTCAGTGAGTCTCCCAAACCAAAATGCGTCCTTGTGTAGTCAAAATAACTCGATTCTTATCAGATATATGTTGACGTTCTTTTGACACACTACTTTACTACGAGAGATGGCCGCATGGTTTTTTAATAAAAATAAAAACGTCGTGTAAGATTACCCAAGCGTCAACCCATATTGGTCAAGATGCAAATTTAAGTTAAATCTGTGTTAGTATGGACATGGATGTTGGGAACGAAAGGTGATTTCAGACGTTTTACCCGTCATATTACGCGTGATGGAAAAGAAAGAAAGAAAGAAATCAAGAAAGAAAGAAAGAAATCAAGAAAAAAAGAAAGAACAGAACAGAACAGAAACTTAAAGAAATTCAAAGAAAAGAAAGGAAAAGAAAGGAAAAGGAAAAGAAAAGAAAAGAAGAGAAGAGAAGAGAAGGAAAGAGAAGAGAAAAGAAAATAATA